GAATAAGAGAGTGAAGAAATCTGCAATTTCGGACATGCCCAACCTGACTCGCACCAAACGATAGAGTTAGAAACTTACCAGGGGATTCCAATTCAATCCCATCAAGGTGGCATGTACCAATGCCATCTCACTAGTCCCTGTGATCAGTTTCAGTTCACAATTGCTCATAATGATAGGACTAAGAACCAAAGGGATCACATAAACAAGACTAGTGTCTGCAAATATTAACTGATAGAATAAAAAAGGGAAAGAACGATCCAACATGGGAAGCAAGATACACAGCAGACTCATAGAATGGCAGATTTCCTAAACAGCACTCTGGCCTCAGAATCAGCCCTTAAGGCATGTGAATCTGGCTGAAAAGCCCATGAGAGTATTTCAGGCATGGAAAGCCAAGACACTGTTGTAATAAAAAATGACGTAAATGAAAGATCTCCGTGAGTGAGATCCCAGTGGAAAGAACAGGTCATCAAAGAAGGAGGTACCTTTCTCTGAAGGGAGGAGAGAACTTTCATCCTAAGACCTTGCCTAAATATGATCAGAGTCGGTGAACTCAAAAGGCTTCCATAGCCTTGGCAACTCATGACAAGAGCCTAGGGAGATTACTGATGCCATAAACAAGAGTGTCAATTTGTTAAGTCAACAACAGGAGTCACTGTGCACTTACTCCTCATGTAGGATCTCTGTCCTTAATGTGCTGTACATTGTGATTTAAAGCTATAACTAGTACTCAAATAATATTTTTCACTTTGTGTTTCTATGTGGGTGCAAACTATTGAAATCTTTACTTAATATATGCTAAACTGATCTTCTGTATATAAAGAGAATTGAAAATGAATCTTGATGTCAATGGAAGGGCAGAGGAAGCAGGAAAGGAGAGGGTTGCGGGTGGGAGGGAAGTTATGGGGGGGAGGGGTGGAGAAGCCATTGTACTCCATAAGCTGTACTTTGGAAATTTATATTCATTAAATAAAAGTTAAAAAAGAAGGAATAAAGAGTTCAGAAGTAAAACAAAGTGAGAGGTTTGCACTACCAATAAAACGTGTTGCAGTAAAGCTGATTAAAAAAAAATTGAAATGAACTGTTTATTTTATTAAAATTAAATAGAGGCAAATAAAATAAGCATTATATGAGCATTCCCAATACAAAATTGTGATGGCAAAGTATGGAAACAATTACAAGGATTTCTGAATCCCCTGAATTAAAGATTTTTAAGATTTTAAAGGACAATAAATGCAGAAAGGAAGAGGACAAAAGAAGGTAACTTTTACTTTTTTATTTGTATGTATCTCAAAAATACATTAGGAACATAGTAATTCTTCCCACTATACCTGCCCTCCCGCCTCCTCCCCCTCCTGTTTAGTCCAAGAAAGAAAAAGAAATAGAAGGAAAGGAAAAAAAAGAAATAATTGAATAAAAACTAAGAGAAATGTTCCTCAACAGTCTAAACAAGGGCTGTTCTATGTTGCTGTTTCTCAAAGGTGATTTCATTCCCCCCCTTTCTTTTTCCCCTTCCTTCCTCCCCCTTTTTTCCTTTTAGAAACTTATTGTCTTTAAAGAACCCAAGGCGAGTACATCTCCTGTGAGCTCTTAGACAAAACTTTAACTTTGAGACATACTATTATCCGCAATTTAGTACACTAATTGAAAGTGATTTTTGAGAACAAGTTTTACTATTAAGTCTCATGATATGACTCTTTGGGGACAGAGTTCCTGCATGGGAAATTAGTGCACAGTGACTCTTGATGTTTATTTATTTATTTATTATTTAACAAATAACACTCATGAATGACATCAGTGATCACCCAAGGCTCTTGACATAAGCTGCCTCGGCTAGAGAAGCCTTTTGGATCCATTAGCTCAACAAGGCCATAAGCAAAGTGGAAGTTCCCTCCTCCCTTCACAGAAAAGTGCATCCTTTGGTGGCCACTTCTTTCCACTGGGGTCTCACCTACAGAGGTGTGATGTAGAACATTTTTTTCAGGGTGTTTTGGCTTTCCATATCTAAAATGCTCCCCCCTGGACTTTCCAGTAAGACTACAATGCCTTTAGGGCTGTTTTGAAGTTGGAGTGCTCCTTAAAGCAGTTGTCATTCTATGAGTCTGCTGTATGGACTGCTTCCCATGTTGGAGTCGTCACTCCTTTTTAATTGTCTACTATTTCCAAACACTTAGTCCTATTTATACAATCACTTTAACACTCGATATTATCAAATGGAACAACGTTACCACTTATTCCTATCCATTTGTTCTTTGTAACACTTAAGCTGCTTTTATTATCAGCCAAATTAAAGGATTTGGTGCTTTATGGCTAGTTGTTAAGCTTTACCCTTAGAAGTTAAGTCCATATGAATGTATGTAGGACTATACTGCTTTGCAGTCGCAAATTTTATACATTTCATAATTAAAATTTTAGGATCTTGATAATTTTTCCCACTGTGTCCACCCTCCCATCCCTTTCCTCTTCCCTTTCTTGTTCTCACACTTATTCTTTACTAAGATCTGTTTACATTTATTTTTATACATACATGGCTAACTCTATGTTAAGTATAGATTCAATGCATCATATGAAAGAGAAAAAGACAAGGAAAATACTATAAAGGAACAGATAAACAAAAATATAGGATAAAAAGCTATTCCTCAACAGTCAAGAGAAGGAATGTTCCAAATATTTGCTTCACAAAGTGTTCATTTCATTTCTATATGTTGTCTTTAAGGTGCTCTGTTCATTATCACAGATCAGGAAGAACATATAGAATTTGTCCCTTTGGGACTGGCTTGTTTTGCTAAGTGTGATGTTTTCCAGTTTTATCCATTTTCTTGCAAAGACTTTGGCTTTCTTTACTGCTGGATAGTATTCCATGGTGTATATATCCCATATTTTCTTATCCAGTCTTCAGATGTAGGGCATTTGGGTTGATTCCTTATCTTTTCTATTGTGAATACAGCTGTAATAGACATGGAGATACGGATAGTTCTTTCATATGCATATGTAGACATGTCAGGTCTACATCCAGACCTTCGACGTATTTCCATACTGTCCTCCACAGTGTATGTTTCCTGCACTTGGTTGTCCTTTCTTTCTCCAAACCAGGAAACTTTTCTGTTATTATTTCACTAAAAAGTCCTTCTAATCCTTTGTCTCTTTCCACACCTTCAGGAACTCCGAGGACCCTGTATGTTGGGTCATTTGATAGTGTCTTGTAGATCTCCAACAGTGTTTTTTGGTTTTCTAATTTCTTCCCCTTCCCCTTCCCCTTCCCCTTCCCCTTCCCCTTCTCCTTCTCCTTCTTCTTCTTTTTCTTCTTTTTTTGTTCGGACTTAAAATTTCCAGAAATTTGTCTTCAAGTTCTGATATTATTTCTTCTATCTCCCCTACTTCGTCGTTAAAACTTTCCACTGCATTTTTTACTTGATATGTTGAGATCTTCATTTCTAGTATTTCATTCTGATTTCTCAATTTCATGGGAAATTTTTCATTTAGTTCTTGGATTTGCTTCTGATTGCTTCTGATTAATCTGATGATTAATTTTCTGAATTCTGTTTCTGGCGTGTACTCAATCTCTTCATCTTCACCTTCTACTATTGAAGTGTTGTAGAGTCCCTTTGGGGCCTATAGTGTCTTCCTTATTATTCCTTTGTTAACTTTCTTCCTTTGATTTTTGGCATTTGTGTAGGGCTTTTTTTGTCTGCTTGCTTTTATCTTTGTTTTGTGTTTTTGTGGCTTAGTGGGATGTCTATACTTTCAGTGAGTACCAAGAGGTGTGTGCTGGATGTGGCCTGGTTGCACTGTTCAGTATTCTATGGTGGAGCAAGTATCCAAGGTAAGGCCCCTATGGGGCTATTTTATAGCTTTCTTCTTGGTTATCTGAATGGATGAGGGTGTTGACTTCAGTTGCTGTGACCCCCAACCCTTCTCCTCACAGCTGTGGTTTACCCTGGTGTTAGTCTCTGGTGTGTTCAGCACTAGTTTGCACTGCTTAATGAACTACACATTTGATCAGTGGTGACTTTCCTGTGAGCATGGTTCCCTCTCTTGTGAGCTGCTACAAGTCTATGGGTCACAGGCATATGTGTGGAGCCCCTGCCTACTGGAGCCCAGCTCACTTTTCAATGGTGGTGGGTGTGCACAAGCTTCGATACACGGGGCTTCCCTTTGTTGTATGCCACCTGTCTGCATCCACCTGGCTGCTGGTTCCGGCATGCAGAGGGTGAGGGAGAGGGAGGTACCACCTCTATTCATTCATTTTTTTCCCCTGCATAGAACTTCAAAAGCAGTTCACCAAGCACTCTCTCCTGCTGCTATCTGCAGCTCCATGGGCTTGTGGATCTCACCTGGTCTGCCAGGGCCAGCACTCTCCTCTCTGGGTCCAAACTTTTGCTGTTTATTTTTTTCTCACTTGTTCTTTTGGTGCACACCCAGATCATCTCTGTTGTTCTCACTGGGTTTCCCACTGCAAATTCCCCATAGTTTTATCTCAGGCCTGTAGTTTCTATTCTAACCTTTTTTAATTATTAATTTTGCCCTGCATGATTCAGACCTTCCGGCTGCTACCCCACCATCTTGAGAATAGAAGGCAACTTTTAGACAAAGGATGCACAGACCAATGGATAGTTCATTATAGGACAAGAGCATCATAATGTTAATTAAAATAATCATAATGATGATTATGCTCGTGTCAAATTAACTTTTTTAATGTTTTATTTAGACACAATTTAAAACATACAAAGGTGTTGCAATAAGAGTACCCAAAAAACTCCACATTTACCCTTTATTGAATTCATCTACTGAACATTTTGTCCCATGGTTTTATCACTGAAAGTAAGTTTTTTTTCTTTTCAACTTTTATTTAATAAATATAAATTTCCAAAGTACAACTTTTTAATTATAGTATCTTTTTCCCCCATAACCTCCCTCCCACCCACAACATCCCATCTCCCACTCCCTCTCCTATCCCATTCTTCATCATGATTCATTTCAATTACCTTTATATACAGAAGATCAACTTAGTATATACTAAGCAAAGATTTCAACAGACTGAACTCACCTCAAATAGCTAAAGCAATCTTGTACAAAAAAAAAGCTGGAGGTATCACAATACCAGATTTCAGGACATACTACAGGCAGTGATAATCAAAACAGCATTGTACTGGTACAGAAATAGATGGATAGACCAATGGAACAGAATGAAAATAAGTTTTAATTCTTAGAGTTTTACTATTAATGTTGGCAATAAGCAATCAGATCATATCAGTAAGATAAATAATTTTCTAATATAGTATCCAAACATAGAAAAATACATACATTGTGTTTCAAGGAAAAGGAAATTTGAAAGTCAGGTCTTTTCCTCCCACAGCTTTCAGGGCCATTCTTATGTCCTTATTCCTCAAAGTATAAATTACAGGGTTTAGCATGGGAGTAACAACACTATACAATACCGAGATGAGCCTATCTTTTGCCAATGAGTAAGATGAGATGGGCCGTACATATGTGAAAATGGAACTTCCATAGTAGAGAAGGACGATGACCAGGTGGGAGGCACAGGTGGAAAAAGCCTTTTGCCTTCCCTCTGAAGAGTGAATTCTCAGGATGGCAGAAATTATAAAGAGATAGGAAACGATGATACCCAGAAAAGGAGCCCAGCCAATAAAGACCCCAATGAAGAGCAAAACAAATTCATTGACAGAAGTGTCCCCACAAGACAAGATCAGCAAAGGGGGAATGTCACAAAAGAAATAATTAATCTGATTGTTGCCACAGAAGGGCAAGCGAAATGTCAAAGCTGTGTGCACCACTGAGTTGAGGGAGCCACTCACCCAGCATGAGGCTGCCAACTTGCTGTACAGGGCCTTGTTCATGATAACTGAATACCTTAAGGGTTTGCAGATTGCAATGTAACGATCATATGCCATTGCTGCCAGCAAAAGACATTCCACACCCACAAAGAAAAGAAATGCAAAAAGTTGGGTTACACAGCCCCCATAGGAGATGCTTTTCTTCTCTGATAGGAGATGCACCATCATCTGGGGGACATTGGTAGTAGTGTAGCAGATGTCAAGAAAGGCCAAATTCCTCAGAAAAAAATACATGGGAGTGTGCAGTCGGGCATCAGCCACTGTTATCAAAATAATGAAGATATTTCCTCCCAGGGTACAGAGATAGATCATAAGGAATATGGTAAAGAGTAAAAATTGCAAATCATTTAAGTTGGAGAATCCTAAAATGATGAAATCTGACAGAGCTGTTTGGTTTTCTCCTTCCATAATGTTCTTTCTTGGATATTAAGGGAATAGCAAGACAAACTACAGTATTCATGGGCTATAACAGCAATAATCTGCAAAACAAGAAAATATAACTGTTATGAATAAAATAATCATTGTCTATATCTTGATAACCACTAGATTCTTTATAACCCATGACAAATCATAGTGGTGCCCAACAGTCATCACTTTTCTTTTACAAACCCACATTTTCAACATTTTTATGAGACATAAAACTCTTACAGAATAATAACTCCTTGATGTGGAAAAATAAATGAGAAGAAGTCCACATGCAGTATAAGGGCTATTACTAGAGATGTGGGGTGGCAGGCCCCTCCCTTCAAACCACACTGTGGCTTGTGGATGGCTAGTGAGGATCACAATCAGGTAGTTAAGAATCATGGAGAGGCCGGCGCTGCGGCTCAATAGGCTAATCCTCCGCCTAGTGGCACCAGCACACCGGGTTCTAGTCCTGGTCGGGGATCCGGATTCTGTCCCGGTTGCCCCTCTTCCAGGCCAGCTCTCTGCTATGGCCAGGGAGTGCAGTGGAGGATGGCCCAAGTGCTTGGGCCCTGCACCCGCATGGGAGACCAGGAGGAGCACCTGGCTCCTGCCTTCGGATCAGCGCAGTGCGCCGGCCATGGCGGCCATTGGAGGGTGAACCAACGACAAAGGAAAGACTTTTCTCTCTGTCTCTCTCTCACTGTCCACTCTGCCTGTAAAAAAAAAAAAAAGAATCATGGAGATATTTGAGTCTCTGCTTGTCGATGCTTCCATGTCCTCCTTGTATTTTGGAGGCTCTTAGAGGTTGTTTTTTTTATATCATTTTGCTTTCAAACATCAAATTGTCTACTTTCTTTGTTAAAGCTCTAAAATATTTTAATATGAGTGACAAATTTAATTTAGCATACATATATAGAACACTGTATTCAACAACTGCATAATATAGATTCTTTTCAGAAAAACATGCATAAAAGACAAAAAATACAAGAATATGCACTTAACTACTCATAAACTTCAATAATTTCAAATAATTATAATTGAAATCATACAGATTGTTTTCTGGTCATGTTGCGAATAAACTAGATATGAGCAACATATGTGGGAAATATTTACCATATTTGGAAATTAAGCAATACATCTCTAAATATTCTAAAGGCTGAAGAATAAAATCACAATGGAAGTTTAGAAAATATTCTAGTTTTATGATAAGGAAATAGCACATATCAAAATTTATGAGATACAACTAATGAAATTATCTACAGAGAAGTTTGAAAGAGCTAGGTATTTGGTGCCACAATTAAGCCACCGCTTAGCATATTTGCATCCCACATCAGAGGCCTGGGTTTGAGTTCTGGCTCCATTCTCTATGCCAGCTTCCTGCTAAAGTGCACCGTGAGAGGGAGCAGGTTCTGGCTCAAGTATTTATATCCCTGACAACCACAAAGGAGACTCGCATTGAGTTTCCAACTCTTGGTTTGGCCTGGCCCAACCATGGCTGTGGTAGACATTTGGGGAGTGAACCAGCAAATAGGAAATCAATCTGTCTTTCCCTATCTCTCTGTCTCTCTATCCCTTTCCCTCCTTCCATTGAAAGAAGGAAGGAGGGGCCAGTGCTGTCATGCAGTGTGTTAAAGCCCTGGCCTGAAGCACAGGCATCCCATATGGGTGCCGGTTCTAGTCCCAGCTGCTCCTCTTCCCATCCAGCTGTCTGCTATTGCCTGGGAAAGCAGTAGAAGATGGTCCAAGTCTTTGGGCGCCTGCACCCATGTGAGAGACCCAGAAAAAGCTCCTGGCTCCTGGCTTCAGATTGGCACAGCTCTGGCCATTGCTGCCATCTGTGGAGTAAACCAGAGGATGGAAGATCTCTCTGTGTGTCTCCACCTCTCTCTGTAACTCTGTCTTTTAAATAAATAAAATAAATCTTTTAAAAAAATTTTTAAAAAGGAGGGAGGGAGGGAGAGGGAGGGAGACAAGGAAAGAATGAGAAAGGAAAAGAAAATTTAGAAAACAGCAAAGCTTAAAACCAATGAACTAAACATTTATCGCAAGAAGTTTTTAAAAATTTTTTAAAAAATTAATGCAGAATTTGTTGTTTATCCTACTGGTGAAAGCAACTGTGTACCACATGGAAGCACCTGGGTTTGATCCCCAGTACCAGCCCCTGTCTCCAGCTTCCGGCTAATGGAGATCCTGGGTTACTGACACCCATGTGACTGGGACTAGAACAAGGCTGATGCTGGGATTAGGAATGCAGTCAAATTGTCTATTGTTGGTGGCTCTCCTCTGTCTCCTAAATCACCAGGATTCTTTTGATCTTTGCAGACTAATTTTTGGGTTGTAGAATGTTGGGAAATGAGGATTTTTTTTTAATTAAATCTATAGGAAGTTTTCCACTTTTCTTTTATAAAAACTGGTCAAATTTTATACTTATTTTCCATTCTCATTTTTAGTTTGTATACATTTTTTGAACAAAACAGTAACCCAAACATATGTACTGAAAGTCAGATGTTGGAAAAACAAATGAAAATAAACATACTGACCAAAGTTTTGGCTTAGAGAATATTTTTTTACTGTCAGTATGATTCTTAAAAGATTGTAAATATTGGATATATTTCTGTTCTATTCAGTCTTGACTAACACAATGATGACCTAAACTAATTTAAAGTAAGAATGAAGAAAGAATACAAACTGAGGTAGTATTTCAAATGGTTCAGAATTCATTACCCCAGTAACTAGGACTTACATAATGAGTGATAAAAACAAAATACCTTGGAATTATTGAAAGCTTAGCAAAGTATAACCAGATAAAAGTTCTTTGGTTATATTTTAAGATTTTAAAGTAATAGTAACATGATATTTTTCTGCTCATAAAATATATTATTTGTAGAATAGTTGAGAAATAAGACAATTATAAATAGGGTAAATATCATCTTTAATCCCACTGAGTGCTAATTTTGTAGATACTGCTAATGAATTTTCCTATGTATATGTAGTCAAACTAGACATTAGATTGTACATATTTTATATCCTTCACCATACTATATTTCTTTGTTATTAAAATTTTTCTGGCCAGAGCTGTGGCTCAATAGGCTAATCCTCTGCCTGGCACACCGGGTTCTAGTCCCTGTTGGGGTGCCGGATTCTGTCCCGGTTTCCCCTCTTCCAGTCCAGCTCTCTGCTATGGCCCAGAAAGGCAGTGGAGGATGGCCCAAGTCCTTGGGCCCTGCACCCGCATGGGAGACCAGGAGAAGCACCTGGCTCCTGCCTTCGGATCGGCATGCAGCATGCTGGCCACAGCGGCCATTGAGGGGTGAACCAATGGCAAAGGAAGACCTTTCTCTCTGTCTCTCTCTCTCTCTCACTGTCCATTCTGCCTGTCAAAAAAATTTTTCTTCAATATAATTTTAATGGCTATAAGTAAGTTCATCATTTGAATGTGCCAAATTTTATAAAACTTAAACCTTGACAATTAACATTTTACTGTTCTAAATTAAATTAACATTTAATTAAGTAAATATTCCTGAATACCTTTTATTGTGTGCTAAAATGCTTTCCTACAAAGTGTTGATGGGTAGAAATATGCTTACATCTTTGATGTGAATACCCAACTTGACTTTTTTGGCATTATTTTGAATGGATAAAGTTACCATAGAGCAAATAGCCCTAGATGATCAGGGACACTGACATATAGGAAAGTATACCCCTCATGACAAGAGAGTTGGGAGACATTTGTTTCAATTTGAGGTCACTTACATTGCCTAATTCTTAGTTGATTCATATGTGATATCATAAGGATCCACTATTTACAAAATTCCAGAAAAATATTTAGATTTAACATACAAGTAGTAGTTTAAATGGACCAACTCTCTACAGTGATTGCTTAGTGTCATGAAGAAATGATCAAAACAAAAAAAAACTTTAAAATATAATCAATTTCTCATAAATTGTTTTAGCAGTATGGCATCATAATCAATGACTCTAATAAATTAAATACTCTATTAATGATCACAGTATTTTAAACTTAGAGGGTAATGTGAAATAAAACACTGAATAAAGCAAATAACACTTGGGACAGCACTGGTTCAGATGAAACCAAAGCCCAGTGGACTTTCTCATCTCTAAACTTCTCCAGATGTATGAAGATTTTAAGCTACTCTGAGTTAGATGTCTGTGAATGAAGTAACAATTTATAAACATTGGGGTCGGTACAGTTGCATGGAGGGTAAAGACAC